GCCCATCGGCCACGGGACAGTCACTGCTGGCAACGCGGGCCGGCCGGCGACAGAGCCCCGCACGGGCACTCCGGGTGGCCAATCCGAGCCTGCCGTCCTCACAGCTCAGCCAATCAGGGCACGGAATGCTTCAGGGTGCCGCCCATCCAACAAGGTAGGCAACCCCAACCCGGAAGCCTCCAGGAGGCAGAGAGGAAGGGTGTCACGTGATTGGGGCTGTCATGTGACTGACGTGTGTGCAGGGTGTCAGGTGATGGCCTCGGTTTGCCTGTGTCTGGCCAATCCGAGCCTGCCGTCCTCACAGCTCAGCCAATCAGGGCACGGAATGCTTCAGGGTGCCGCCCATCCAACAAGGTAGGCAACCCCAACCCGGAAGCCTCCAGGAGGCAGAGAGGAAGGGTGTCACGTGATTGGGGCTGTCATGTGACTGACGTGTGTGCAGGGTGTCAGGTGATGGCCTCGGTTTGCCTGTGTCTCCTATAGGGAGTCAGGTGACCCCTGCTCTCCCCGGGGGCGGGGCAGGAAGGGCAGCTGCCTCCCCTTCCTGGCCCCAGGCTGGGGGCTGCCCAGCCCTAGAGCCCTGGGCTACAGCAAGCTCCCCCACACTGCTAACCCCAGCCTGGCTGCAAGGGGCAGCGCCATCCCTAGGCTGCCCTTGCAGGTGGAGGCCCCATTCCTGTAGGGAGTCTCAGCAGGAGTTTTCCTTAAAGTCTCAGTTGCTGGAATCAGGATATGGCATACACCTCAACTTCCATTTTAAAAAGAGGTTCTAGTCTTCAGAATTGCTGGGGGAAAAGCTCGGAACTGCCCTGCAGCGACATCCTAAAGCCTCTGGAATCAAAGAATAAAAAGAATTTAAAATGTGCTCCTTTCGATTATTGGCAGGGCACATAGAATCATAGAATATTAGACCAGGACGGGATGTTGAGAGATGAAGTCCTGTCCCCCTGCCCCGCATTGGGGACCACTGGTCTAGACCGTCCCTGATAGATGCCTATCTAACCTGCTCTTCAATATCTCCAGTGATGGAGATTCCATAACCTCCCTAGGCAACTTATTCCAGTGTTTAACCACCCTGACTGTTAGGAAGTTTTTCCTTGGCTAATATCCAACCTACACCTCCCTTACTGCAGTTTAAGCCCATTATTTCTTGTCCCTGCCTCTTCCCCCCTCTTCCCTGCTCCCCCCCCATCCCCTCTGTAGAGTATGTCTGTGCTGCAGTCACAGTGTGCTTGCTGCTCAAATGGGTGTCCCTGAGCGAGCTGTAATCTTGCTCACTAGAGTCTTGGAACAGCAGAACTGCAACAGAATGAGCTGTGGCAGAGGCTGTATAAACTGCCCCAAACACTTGGTAATTACTTCCAGAATAAAGCTGCAGTCACACCTTTAGGCTTGCCAGATGCTTTCACCAGAAATCTCGAACATGGCAGGAAAAAAACTTGGTTGAGGGGGAAAAAAAACCCAACAACTCAGGAGACGAAAGTTGTTAAGAAAAAACAAAAAAACGGGAGAACAGAAAAAAAAAAGAAAGTCGCTGCACCTTTTAGAATTCCTGCACTCCTTGCTTCCTGTATTTTCTGTTATTTTTAACTGGACAGGGGCCAGAAATAACAGATTGTCCGGGCAAAAATCTGGCAACCCTACATGCCTTACCTAGCTGTAAGCAGGTGAGGAGTTTAGGTGCTGCTCTTTCCTTTTGGGCCACCACAGGCATTTGAAAGGAGGTTTTGTGGCTCAGTAGCTCTGAGATGAATGTCTGGGGATGTCCTTGGGCATTGCTGAGCATTCTCCTACATCAGGCCTTTCCCCCCTCATTGCCTTTGCTTTTATGAATGAGCAGAGTTTTGGAAGCTGCCAAAGGGTTTGCTTGGCAGAGGCACACCCTGTCCATTTGCTCAGCATGTCATGATGTTACCTGCTTGGACCACCCTAGCCACACAACTGGTGGTCACTGTGACATTCTGTACTGTGGGGGACCTTCACATAACGCCCATCTTTGTGATGTGTAGATAATTGTGATATCACATCTAAGCAGGCCGTGTGAGGGAGCAGGGGAAAGGTGATGATCTGCTGAAAGTCACTGTTCTGTCTAAACTTCATAGGCACTATCGATACGCCTGTGTTGCAGGGTTGTCACTAAAATAGGCTGTGGCCACACTAACTCTCCAGAGACAATGACACCAGAGGTAACCAACACCTGGGTGTGTGCTAAACAGATCACCAGCCACTGTCCAGCAGCGGCGTGATAGTCCAATGACTCTCTCATAGGAGACACCCTTTGGGGCTCAGCAAGGCCTACCAGACATGCCTGGACTGTACCCCCAGTATCTACAGTTTTCAGGCACAAAAAATTTTTTTCTACCATTGCAACACATTTGTTTAAACAACTTAATTGTAGCCAGGCGGGCGATGACATTTTTGGGTGTTAAAAGTATAAAAATAATAAAACGCTGTAAAACTTAAAATAAAAATTCAGTTTTCTCCAAATTTCAGTTGTGTTGACGTACCCCCAGACTTCTTTCGAGTACCCCTAAGGTTGAGAAACACTGTCCTATCCCATCACAGTTATTCAGAAGCATCCTCGCCTCTGGCTGTTCGTTGCTCAGGAGAGGCTCTGTGGGATGGGTAAAGCAGGGAGAAAAGGGGACTGTCAAGCAAGCCTTGGTTTCAAGAACACCGGGTCATCTGGGGAGCTGTGCAGCCTCCCTGTGGGGCTCCTGCATAAATAAACCTTTTGGCATGGAAGCCTTGCTTGGAGTCAACCGTGTATTCTCCCAACCCCACAGGCCAGCTCACTTCCACATTGTGGTGTCTGCACCCCCAAAGCAGCTGCACTTGAGATTTCAGTTCCTGCTTTGACTGCAGGGTTAGAACTTGACTGCCATATTTGGGCTCAGTTTGCACCTCTGAGGCTATTGCAGGAATCTACCCCAGCAGGACAGCCAGGGATCCTGCCTGGGAACACCCTCTTAGGAGCTGTGTTTAGGGACTGTGGCAAATGGCCAGCATTAACTTTCCCTTGGTGAGGGTGTCACCCCATGTCCCTGTTCTTGGGCATTGTGCACTCTGTGTCCTGGTGGGAGAGAGAGGGGAGTGGGGAAGAGGTCTGGGCCTGAGCTCCAGCCTCTGTGGGTTTCTTCTCTCCCCCCCCTGCCCAACCCTGGGCAAGGTCTCTCTTCCTCCAATTTGCTGCTGTTTCAGCCACACGCCTGCAAACTCCAGTCTGCCTGAAGCAGGGAGTTTTATTAGGTTCCTGACAGGGCCTTAATTGGCTATAGTGTGTCAATTAGCCTTTAATAGCTGTCCCTAGTCTACTGAGGACACCACCTTAATTAGCCTTGGGCTTATATCACCCCCTCCTGCTGTTCTCTGGCCCTGCTGTATCTCCCCTCAGCCCTGCTCAGCCCGCAGCACCAAGGGGTTGGATGAGGCGGGACGGCAGGGCTGTGCTGTCACGACAGGCTGTCAGTGTTGCCACGTCGGGTTCCGGCTCTGGGCTGCACTCGAAAGTGGAAGGGGTGTTGGTTCAGGCACCGACTAGTCACGCTCCTGTTCTTTTCTTGGTTCCTGTGCAGCCACTGGAGTGTGCTGTGGTCTGCTGTGAGGAAGAAGGGCCGCCCCAGCAGGTAGTATCAGAAGGTCTCCATGGCCCGTTTGTCTGCTAGATGTTCTCCCTTGGCATCATTGCTCCCTGGGGTGGAGTTTCAGGCAGAGGTATAGAGCTGGGTGATCCTCATGCCCCTCCATCTGCAAAAGGATGGTGCCTAGTCCTACCTCTGAGGTGTTTGTCTGCAGGATAGAGTCCTTCCTGTAGTCTGGGGCTATGGGGTTACTGCATGTTTGCAAAGGGCCATCTTTAAATCAGTGAATGAGCCATCTGCTGCGTTGGTCCATTTGTCTCTCTTTGGGTCCCAGGCATGTGTCAGGTGACGGTCCATCAGCAGCCGTTCCCTCGTGGCAAAGGGGCCAGGTTTCTGCCTGCCCTTCCCTGGCCCCTGTTGTGCAGCCTTAGGTCTTAACCCCTTCCTTCCCGCGCTGTAGTGGGAAGCGATGGGGGACAGGACAGCAGGTGGCTGAGCTGTGTCAGTAGCCAGTAGCAGCCTGGGGCTGTTTTTTGCCTTTCTACACTGAGCCACAGGTTTCGGGGTGGGGGTGGGGGGGAGAAAGAAGAGATGAGCTCTGCAAAGACATGGGCCAAGTCATCTCTTCCCCTCCCCCCCTCTTGTGGGTGGAAGCAGCTCCCATCCCGGACCTCCCTCACAGAGCCAGAAGGCTGCTGCTGGCCACATTCTGGTGCTAACCCTGGCAGAAATCTGGGAGGGGGAATGTGACCTTGCATGTCCTCTGCCCACATGTCACCTCAGGAAGACGTGGCACCGGGTACCAGGAGAGGCGGGACCACCCTGGGGTTCCAGCCAGGCATGGAAGACAGAGGGGGCCAGGCAGGGAGGGTTGGTCAGAGTCACCCCCCATTTGAGAGAGGAACATGGAAACATGTGTGTGCACTGTTATCACTCCCCATGTGTGGGGGGTGGGAGGGGTGTGTGCATCGCCCCTCCCTATGTGAACCCTGAAAGCCTTAAGGAAGGTAAGTTCAGAGTTGACACCACAAAGAGCCAGCCAGCCAGAGGGAAATGTCAGTGGGGAAGAAGAGTTGTTTCCAAAGTCTGCAGGCACCAGGGCTACAGAGGGTTAAACAGCTAAGCCAATCGCCAGAGTGGACCCTTTGCATCCTTGGGGAGACCTGCTTTGTGTGCAGTCCACGTTGTGCAGCAGCTGGCAGTTGTCACCTCCGCTTACGTCCTCAGAGCTAAGCCCAGCAAGAGGGGATGTCTTCCCTGCAGAACGGGCCTGCTCCTGAAAGCTGCAGAGGGCCCACGGAGGATTCTCAGCGCCTTGACAGATTGGATCCACATTTAGATCCTGCTCCTGCTGACATCACCAGCAATGTTCCCAGTGACTTCACTGTGAGCAGGGGCGCTGCTCCTCCCTCCGCTTACGTCCTCAGAGCTAAGCCCAGCAAGAGGGGATGTCTTCCCTGCAGAACGGGCCTGCTCCTGAAAGCTGCAGAGGGCCCACGGAGGATTCTCAGCGCCTTGACAGATTGGATCCACATTTAGATCCTGCTCCTGCTGACATCACCAGCAATGTTCCCAGTGACTTCACTGTGAGCAGGGGCGCTGCTCCTCGT